AACTTGTGCTTATATTGAACATGTACAGACCTTTTTGTCATTATTCCCTAAGCAGTACAGTATGACAACAATTCACATAACACTTACAGTGTATTACTGTTGTAAGTAATTTAGAAATGATTTAAAGAATACGAAAGGATTGCATAGGTCATATGCAAACTCTACGCCATTCTATGTGACCATGTGAGGCTATTGGGGTCCGTTGGATCATGGAACCAATCTCCCCTGACCCCAGGCAAAGACAGCAGTTACTTCTGAGTGGTCTTTGTTCACCAAACATTCTATCACAGTGGTACGTACCAAAGAGACATGTAGGGGTTAAACTGGGATACCACAAGCCCCTCAGTCTTCAGAAGAGCGTTCTCCAGGTGTAACCCGGAGGCTCAAATGTACATCACTTAAATGTTCATATATTAAAGGAAGGTGGTCATCAAAGGCAGACATGCAGAAAGTTCTGATAAAACTTTGAGTTCTCAGGAAATTTAAATTAATCAAAGTATAACATTAACTGTAACACTGATCAAAATTCTCCTGTCTGAGAATGATTTCCTATACAATATTTTGATCTCTTATATAATATTTCTTTTATCTCATTATAAAAAAGACACGTTTAAAAGCAAAGCATCTCTTACTCTCTCCTGCCCACCCTCTAGGATGAGTTTGATTCTGCTTTGACAAGTGACGTTCCACCTCTTAAGGTCTGCAGAACTCTTATACACAATGAATTCTCTCAGTCCTCAAATATGACAAGGGTGAGGGTGGGAAATGAATAATCCCAACTGGAAGCCGAGAATAGGAGTAGTGAAGGTTGTCCAAAGCCCTGGGTGCAGTCATTCATGGGGAGGAACTAAGTTATGGATTTTCTGCCTCCTTCTCTGGCACTCTTTCTAAGGTCCAGGGTCAATTCCAACCCTTCTCTGTGGTGTGAGCCAGGGGAACACCTGGGAAGTGGAATAGCTGGCACCCACATTTCTGGGCTCACAGTTGATCTGTTCCAATCATCACTAATCCTGAATATTATCCACTCAGAGCTGTGGGTTTTTCATTCTAGAAATTCACCCTTTTCTTCCTTTTCCCACCTGGTTGCCCATTCTTTCTCCTTTCCTTATTGGTTCATGAATTTCTTGCCTCCAAAGGATCACATTTTCTTTTTCTCCTTGAGATATAATTATAAATATTTTCTAGTTGTGACCCCACTTCTTAATACTGACTAAATTTTCTCTATGCTCTAGGCCAACACAAAGCCTCTGTCATTTAGTGAGTGCAAACCCTGCTATCTCTCGCCTATGACTACATATATTCCAGCTAAAGTTTCCAGAATGCTAACACAGAACTTTCAAACGATTAAGATTCACAATTACATTCCCCTTACATGTTTTTAATGTTACTTCAGATATTTGTTCCTGCTAATATGCTACTTGATTTTTTTCCTTTCTTTTGTGGTTGTAATGAGAATTTGGAAAGACTGAGAGGAAGATTGAGAAAGGAATGGGTGGTGAACAAGGTAATATAGAAGAGCAGCTTTGTGAGAAATAACTAAGGTTTTTAGACGTTATTTATTAGAAAATTCCATATCATAATGATTAATACTGCTATGTTCTGAGAATACAGTAGTCATCCTGATCTTAATTTGAGGTAGTCTATAAAGTGTAAGTTAAGGTTTGGAGCCAAATGTGGTGGCTTATGTCTGTAATCCCAGCACTGAGGAGGCTGAGGCAGAAAGATCAAGAGTTTGAGACCAGCCTGTACTATACAGTGAGACCCTGTCTCCAAAAACCTTTACAATGTTTCCAGCATAATCTTGTTTGGATCATGTCTTGATCCTTTCAGGCCAGTTTTACCTTCTGTTCCACACCCAAACTGGAACATGGCACATCCTTCAGTTTCCATTAACTCTCAGGGCCCCTTGTCACAGAACAGGGGTTGGGGCTCAAGGTTTGGGGTCCCTTTGACTTGAAGGCCTTAAGCAAGTCCTTTAACTCTCTGAGCCTCAGCTTCCTCCTCCATAAAACAGAGAAAACCACCCCCACCTCATAAGGCCATTGAGAACATTAAATAAAACAACACATGTGAGATTCCTGGTGCCCAAACCACTGTAGCCTTTACTGAGATGTATTTAGTACAAAGAAGAATTCTCAAGGGTTTCCTTAAGAATCTGTTCTAAGGCATGCACTCATCAATTTTTTTTCAAAAAGCAATTTGGTCAGTGTATTTTTTAAAAGGAGAAAGAAAAGAAAAGAAAATACCATGTCTGTAACTTTCCTCCTGTGGACATGTCCCTTCACACCCTTGTCTTGAATTGGTAATGCTTCTTCAATACACTACAAGCTCCTCCAGTGCTGGGACTGTCTGCCATTTTCATTACTATATATATAAATATATATATATATAAATATATTATGCTATACCGTATACTATATACTATATGTATGAAAATAGCATAATTAAAGCCACTACAAACAGTTAAAAAGTGGGAGAGGGAGAAGGAAGGGGAACCAAGAAACAAGGTAAATTTGATCCAACTACATTTTATGCATATCTGTAAATATCATAATGAAACCTCTTGGTAGAATTAATTCACACTAATAAAAATAAATACTTGGGGCAGTACTATGGTTTGAATTCAGGGCCTTGAGCTTGCTAGGCAGATGCTTTACCATTTGAGCCATGACCCCAGTCTAATAAAATTTTTTTTAAAAAACAAAATTAACAATCTAAAAACAAAATAAAATGCACTTTCTTTTCTTGTCTATAACTACCACCAGAAGTTCAGTCTCAAGGTCATTAGCAGATGGTCCCTTTGCCTGAGGCCTGTGATTTTCATAAGGAAACAAGGAAAGTTTGTGTAAATGATACCCAGAAGTGGGGTGGGAGGGACATACAAATTTTCAAAGTAAATAAAGGCAGAGATCAGTAGAAATATGAAAAACAATAGATTCGGTATCTCATTAGTCAACATAGTAATCTAAAGATTACTTAGGATTTTCAAAAGGAAAAAGTATATTTACAATGAGACATCTGATAACAACGCACTCAACTAAATAATTAAACTTAACTCATTAGTGAATGGCCTAGTATGTACAATATAAAATACACAACACTGCCTTTGAGGTCATCTGATCAACTGTCTTGTCTGAGTTTAATCAAACCTTAGAACTGGCAGTCTACAGGAAATACAGGATTTGGAGCAACAAGGTAAGTCACACCAGAAGGAAACAATTTGATAAAACTAGAATGTGGAACACTCTACAAGTCAACTACCCTATCCCTTCAAAAAGTCTATGTCATGGGAAAAGAAAAAAAGTTGAGGCACTGTTCAATACCATAAAAGGCTGCAATGGCAAACAACTAAAGACAATGTATAAGTGAGCCTTGAGTAGTTTCTGGTTTACAAAATTATAAGACTTTGGGGAGACAACTGAGGAAATTTGAATTTGGACTGGATATTTGATGATTTAGGTAAAGACTGTTAACTGTCTTACGATGTGTTTTCTTTGTAGTGTTGTGGATCAAACCTAGGGTCTTCTCCATGAGCCTAACTCTCTAGCATTGAGCTACACCCCCACCCCCAGAAAGCCCTTATTTTTAGAAGATGCTGAAGCCTAGTGGTGTCTGCAATTACATTTAAAGGGCTCAGCGCTCCAAGCATTCACACACACACACACACACACACACACACACACACACACACGTTGATAAGGTAAATAGGACAAAATGAGCCATTATGAAATTTAGGCAGTGAGTATACTGCAGTTCACGATACTGTTGTTTCAATTTTTCAGTATGTTTAAATTTTCATCTTAAGTGTTAGAAGACATGGTAGCAAGGTAACAAGTATTCTCTGTACAGAATGAAAACTTCTTTTACATTTCATAATAAAAATAAGTTATAAAGTTGTGTCCTGATGTACTGGGTCAGTGACTAGAAAGTCCTGGGACTCAAACACCATCTGTAACAGCTTCTGGGGCTGACGACTGGACTGAGGGCAACAAACATAGCCACACAGTCCTCTTACACTGAGTAACTTTCTCACTTCATGTGAAAACCTCATTATTCCCACACCAGGGATCCTGCCAACACATGGCGAGTAAGTGACTTGTAGCTAGTATTTGCTTATTTATCTTTACATTTTTTATAAACTAAGATCTTTTATCATGTTTTAGTTGGACTTCAGTAAAGAATCATAAAATAAAGGTCTCATGCACTGTGACAGCTACTGATCCTCCTCATGAGTTCACATCTGTCCTCTAGAAGTACAGTTTCAACAGGACAGGCATAATGTTTAGAGCCCATAATCCCATCACTCAGGAGGTGGAGGTAGGGGGATACTGGTTCAAGGCCCACCAGGAAAAAACAGGAGACCCTACCTGAAAAACAAACTAAAAGCAGAAAGGCTGGGGCGTGGTTCAAGTGGTAGAACAATTGAGCTGGAGGCCCTGCGTTCAATCCCCAGTGCCACCCCAAAAAAATCAAAACAAAACAAAAAACAGTTTTGAAGTAGCAGGTACTGGAAAGAGCTGCTGACAACCACACTTTCTAGGAAGCAATTTAGCCCTAATCTAAACTGCCTGGTCTCACATTGGTACCCTATACTTAATCCAACCCAAGTCTACAAACCAAATTTGTCTCCTAAAGGAATGTCACTGAGGGTATTCAACTCACAACAAAAATAGCTTTGGGTAAACTTAGTCATTTGCTACCTCTCAGGTTTTTGTTGGTGCTTGATTTTTTAAAATAGTGATCTAGGTGATATGTAAGCAATATGGGTATAAGCTAATAAACACTGTTTTACTAGTCTGGCTATGACATTATTCCTACTGTTGGAGAATGACTACTAGAAGATAAACTTGACAAATTAAAGAGTTCACAAAGATAGGTGAGAGAGAAAGAGAGAGAGAATCTCAGAGTTCAAAGTTTGTATGACTTTGGAAAAGACAAATGTGAACTGAGTCTAAAAATTAGTTTGAAATACTCCCACAAATGGAAAACACACTGCACAGAAGCTAAAACGTAAAAGGAACCTTAATGCTTAATACATTTGAAAATGTGAAAGACCATGGTTCCTTTGGGTTTTGGAAAGAAAGTAATGAGTCAGATTCATCTGAGAGAACAGGAAAGTCTTACCTAGGTACAAGGAGGCATTTTCTTTCTTGACATTGTCATCTAAGTAGGTTGGTCCCAGGGTGTAAATAGGCGTGGAGCCCATTCCAATGAGAATCTGTGCGCAAACGAACAAAGCCACATAGACCCAGTGGTTATTTCCTCCTGAGGCTTTTGGACATGGGGGAGACTCCAACGTGGCGGTGGAGTTGCCATTCTGACACAGGCCATCGTTGGAGGCTGAGGCGTTCAACTCCTGAATCTGATAGGGAGGTGAGATGAAGTGAGGCAAGGCGAACAGCGCAGCCCCGATGGCGATGAAGAGTCCACCCACCGCCAGCCACAGGGGCCGACGACCCCTACCACCAAAATAGCTGACAAACACCACCACCACCAGGTTCCCGATGTCAAAGCAGCTGACCAGCAGCCCTGACTCGGAGCTCTTCAGACTGTAGCGCCTTTCAATGGTGGTGATGACACTGCTCAGGTACCCGGAGACCATTAAAGCCTGGATGAAGGTCAGGAAGCACATGCAAACCAGGAAGCAGCGGGAGTCTGCGAGGACCACATAGAGGCACCTTCTCTGCTGGAGCGTGGCCAGTGTGGGGGACATGGACACCGTTTTCCTGACGTCCATCCTGTGGGTCCAGTCCATGATCCCTGCCATCCCAGCCGAAGTGGTAGGGGCAGAGGGGCTGGAGGTCAATGGGTTCCTGCCTTGCTTCAACTCCTGACGGCCCAAAGAGTCCATACAGCCAAAGGCCTGCTGGACATCTACACTCGCAGGACTGAGTTTCTGCCGACAGGAGGCGCTGTTCAGGACCGGTAAACTCTTAGACCTTAAGGTCTCTGACTCGGTCTTCTCTTGCACAGCTCCTGCTGTGGCAGGTGTCTCCAGCTGCTCTCCTGCCGGGGGCTGAAGCCCAGTGCCTTCCTCCATGGCTCTTAGAATGCAGATGCGATCGCTGATCCCACACCAGGACTCCGGCGCTTTTCATCCACAGGCACTAGGGGCCGAAGCAGGGCCCACTCAGTCGTGCCCAGCTGTGCAGTAGGGCATCTCACCAGTAGGGAGGCGCCCCAAGCATCCTGACCGCAGGCGCTGCCCCAAGGTTCCGCAGCCGCGTGACCCGGGGACCAAGGGTCCACGCAGTCCTGCGATGAGCTCTGTTGGGCGTCCACCTAGGGACGGTAGCTCGCTGCAGGCACCTTGTGCGTCCAGGGCGCATCCCCTCAGCCACCGTTGCTTGGCCACTGGCCAGGAGCCAGGGCGCACTTAGGGACGCTATCCGCACATCCCGCCTGGTGATCCGAGGGGCGCCGGGTCCCCACTGCCTGGGCTTGCTACACCCTCGGATGTGAAGCTGTCAACCTGCAAAGTAGAGAGAGGACGGTCAGTGAAGGGTGGCTTGGGCTGGCGTCCTGGCGCCCCAGGGGCCAGCGCTAGGTGACCGCAGCGGTCCCTAGTGGGTTGGGGGCGGCAGGGGGGCGGGGGGAGAGGATCTAAACCCCAGAGGACGCAGCAGCTGGCGGCTGTGGTCTCCAATCCCTGAACAATAAGCAGCAGGCGGTCGGCAGAGCCTCTTGCTCATTGTCTGTGGCAGACCTGCCCCCTCCCCGCCCCTTTTGCCTTAAAGAGCGCGTTTGCTTTTATATGTTAATAATTATCAACCTGGTAACTCTGACTCAGAGCAGTGTCTTTTATTCCAGAGAACTAATTGCAACCTTTTCATACTCCTACTCTATTCCTTAAAATAGCAAATGTCCTAAAGAACAAAGGAAAGTTTCTTTTTACAAACACACAACGCATTCCCAGTTCCAATGAGAAAGACAGAGAGAGAGAGAGAGAGTAGAAATGTGTGTGCACACTTGTGCGCTGACACATGTGCGCGACTGGATGTGAATCTGCTCTATCAGACACCTATTAAATCAAAGGCAGCAGCAAAAAAAGGTCAACGTTCTTGTGTCTTTATTTCCAACACTAAAAATAACCCAGTGCACGAAAGGACTATTCAATTACAAATACCAGGGGCATTGGAGGTGGTGGCCCACGCTTAGTCCCAGAGCGCAGAGTCAAGCGAAACTGAAAATCAATTTGCTTCGCAGATGGCTGGGGAAGCCACAACCAAACAAAGAGATGCTGGCACGCTGGCGCAGGGAGCCCACCGAGACAGGGAGATGTGCTATTTACTCGGGGAGGTGAACGTGGGCCCTCGAGTGAGTGGGCGGACACACACACACACACACACACACGTATACGTGTTGGAACTGCTCGTGGGATCCACCACCCAGCCTGAATTCAGCGAGAGCCGAACACAGGTATGTTCCACGGAGTAAGCCCCAGTCCCTAATCTTGGGGAACCCCACTCCACCCCTCCTGCCGGGGTAGATGTGCACCAGATGGGAACGAACCAACCGGGTTTCACTGCGTTGGATTTCATTCTGAGACTCGTTTTTGTGATGCTGCTGGGAATAAAAGGGAGGAAGCTAAGAGAGAAAGGCAAGGAAGCTAGGAGGCCAGGGGTGGTCGCACCAGCGTCTCCCTAGGCTGTGCTGGGCCGGGCCGGCTCCCAGATTCCCCGCCCGCCAGGAGCTCACAAGTCCGAGCTTCCAAGACAGGGATCACCATGGCGCCTTCCCGGGGAACCCCACCAGCCGCTGCCCGCCTAGCCGGGAAATCCCGACAATGGAGCCCCTGTCTGAGCGAGCACCGGCCCTGCAGCGTAGGCTCGGATGGACACATGGATTCTGACAAGGAGCAGACGTGGAATTCCGGGATATCCCGCGCGCGCACGCACACGCACACGCACACACACAATCCTGGAAGAACGGAACTGCCGGGGACAGATCGCCACTCTGTCCCGGCACGCAAGCCGCCGCTACTCACTAGCGAGTCTGTCCTAGGTCTGCCTGGCTGACAATGGAGCCGCAAGGGGTGGGGACTACGGAGGGGCAGGAATAGTTGGTAGCAGCCCGTGGAGGCCACCTCAGTCCCGCGGATGAGAAATCAGTGAATGAGCCTGCCACTCCAGCAGAACTCTTCCCTCCACCCATAGCCTGTCACCCAAGCCTCTCCTCTCCAGACGCTGGCGCACAGAGAAGCACCAGGAGTGGAGCAGCAGAGCACGCAGGCGCGGGGACAGCCACTCAGCCAAGTCCCCCGGAAGCGCGCCACCTGGCTGCCTTTCACCTGCACCTCTCCACAAGGCAAGAAGCGCTGAAGCCCCAGCACAGTGGATTTCTAAAAAGTCCGCAGCTGGGGCAGAAAGCCTACTCTGAATAAAGAAATTATTTTTGTTCGTTTGTTCCGCGCCTTGTGCATGTACTGTGTCTCACCTGCCATAGTGGATTCTGGGGAACCAAGACAAAAAGATCCCTGGTGTGAGGAAAACTGCCTTGAGGAGAAAATACCCATTCAAATGGCTTAAAACAACCCAGTAGGTCTGTACAGCATGCTACTGGAGAATCTACTACCCATTAACCTTCATGTCCTACAAGCAAATAGGTGGGAGACATGCTGGGACAGTGCAGGGATGGGGCAGAGTAGAAGAGGACTGTAAGGACTGGTAACTTGTGAATTGTCGTCCTGGGGAACCATGACATTCTGACGTCCTCTCCAGAAAGTGGACTTTGACATGATGTGTAGGCTGAAGAGAGAATTCATGTGGGCACAGAGACAACCTAGGGGCAATTGTTACTGGTGGGTGGGGCACTCCAGACGTTCCTCTGTCCTTGGGTACAGCGTCTAAGATAAGGACAAAACCACACAGCTAAAGACCACAAAGAGTAGACAGTAAAGAGTGATTAAGTAGTAAAGGGTAAGTATATCTAGAGTTGAATGAGAGTCAACTACCTAAATAGGGACAGTATACCCCAAGGAAGGGCCAGAGGTTGGATAAGGAAGCCATCCAGGGCTTGAGATTTTATCCAGTAGGGTGGAGTTACTGAATGGTAGGAAATCAGGGCCCTCTTGTGGCCCTCCCCAAATGATTTGGTGACCCAGCAAAGGCTGTCCAGGTGTGGGCCATTATATTAATTATCAGTTCAGGAGTGATCTATTATGTCAATTACTGCTCCAGATGTGGACCTTTAGGAGTTTTATGATTCTGCCTCCTGGAAGGGAAGTAGTCTGGGAAATAGCCCTGGCATTTCTTCCTTCCAGTCTATCCGAAACACAGTCTTGAAGCAAAGGAGGGGAATGATGGAGAATGCAAACATAGACAGCCTTCGAGCACATATAATCTAACAGCATGGGGGAAAATGGCAAAGTAGGAGGACTCCCAAGTTTCACCCCTGTAGGATGATGGATGGAGGAGAAAAATGTTGGAGGGAGAAAGATGACTCCCATTTTATATAGGTGAATTTGAAACACCTTTGGGACATCCAAGTGTACATATGCCATGAGCTACTGGACATAGGATGAGCAGGAGGTTTGGACTAGGGAATAGGTTATTAGCCATCATCCTGAAGGTAGCATGAGAAAGGATAAGCGAGTAAGGAAGATCATCCAAAGTGAGAAGAGATGTCGGCTAAAGATGGGGCCAGGGAACACTGAGACCTAAGAGAAAGTGAGGAAGCTAAGGAAGGAAATTAGAAATAGCAGTCAGAGAAGAATGGGAAGCATCAGAAAAGAGCCAGAGTCATTGACGCCAAAGGAGCAGACAGTGTTATGAAGGGAAGATCCATACAAGCCTGCTGAGAAGTCAACTAAGATGATAACTGAATGTGGAAAGGGGACGGTCCACAAGTACTGGGACTATGCTGGCCATTGCTGCAATGCCCAGGCCTAACCAATGACAGCACTGACTCTACTTTACAGATGTGACACATGTAATATGTGCCCAAAGTCTATGCTCTTAACTCATCTCCAAAAGTTTCCATTGTCTCCCAATAATTCCATCAAATTAGGAATCCATCAGTGGAACAATCCATTAATAGATCAGAGCCCTCCAGATCCAATGAGTTCTCAATGATTGGGTCCACCAACAGGGGGCCAAACCTTGAACACAGGAGCCTTTTCAGGAGAGGACCCTTCACATGCCTTCATCAGCCCTAACCTTCAACTTAATGGAAAGAAATGGATTTGCATCAGAGGGTTCTGCTATTCCTTGACTTATTCCACTCTGTACATATGATTGCCTAGACTGCAATACCTCCCTTGGGTGATATGTTGAGAGAAGCAGCATATAATTATAAACTCTCTTCAAATTCTTAGGCTTGCTTATAGTCTCTCCTAAGTCACTCTAACTTATAGATAAGTGTTGTTTTTTTTTTCTGATCTTCATATGACAAGAGGACAGGGTAACCTTTGGCATAACTGAGGGCAGTACACAAGTTTAACATCTGGCTGCTCTGTAGAGTAAGTAGAGCAGGGAAAAACAGGAGGAAGCACTTTCTTCTACCCCTTTCCTTCCTGCTTAGAAAAAGTGCTCCCTTCTGAGGTATCTCAGACACATTAAGAACTAAGTTTTGGTCTAGACTATTTTGGGGGCTTAAAATATAATACATAGTTACTGAATCAGATATTGATTGTTTAAGAGGGGAAAATTGTATCTTTATGTAAGCACTTAACCAAACTTTGCATTCATACCCATACTTAGAAGTGAATTTCAAAATGGATAAAATAGGAGAGGGACAGATCTGGTCTTGGGGTACAGTGAATGCAACCCTGTAGTTTGAGGGTCCTTGTAAGTACTAAAGGTGTAGCATGATCAATTCTGCTCATTATAGTTCTGCAAGTCCCACACCCCAATAAATCACAGTCACATAGACACTTGGAAAGTCAGTCAGCCTAGAAAGGAGTCAAGCAGTTGGACAGTACCTCTGGGAGGCAACTGGAAGACAAGACCTTAAAAACTGCCACCTCCATTAATAAAATTAAGGCAGATCCTTTGAGGCTAGATGTGGAGAACATATTCCCTGTGAATAGAAGACAAATGTACCCAAAATATCCATCTTCCCATGAAAAGCGTCCATAATTACCACCAATGATACCTGGGCTGGAAAAGGTTAGGAGAGGCAGTCTCTATGGGCCTGAAGGGGCTCTGCAGGTTTCTTTAGGGAGTGCCAACAATGCAAGGCCTTTTCCCCAGGGTTGTTTGTAGCCAGAAACCTTGAGGGCTGACAAAGAGCAGGCTTGTTTGTGCTTACTAAAAAGCAGCATTCTTCTCCTGAGATGTGATCCACTATGTGCACAGGCATTTGTGATGGGGTCTTTGTACCACTCCATAAGACCTGAGGTGTAGCATCTCTGACTCTGGAGTCTCTTCTCCACAGCATCCATGAACAGTAGCAGGCTAACTTGTGATCTTGGAGGTAGAGTCAAATTCTAGACCATACAGCTCTCGATAGACACTACCCAACTAAACACTCCTACCCCCACTCCCTACACACTAACTTCCTCTATTCTGCAGTGCAACAGGTCCAAAGCCTGAGCTTTGAGACAGGTCTTTCCTCCATCTTAAAGGCTAACACAGGAAAATAAATGCATGGGATAACACAAATGCATGGCCTTTGTCATGCATTCCTCACTTTTCTTTTCTTTCTTGAACAGCAGAACCTGGAAAGACAATTTTTTTTAAAACACATTTCCCTGACTCCTATGCACACAGGCTTTTGGATAATAACTGACACACTTTAGTGAGTTTTGGGAGGTGGGATAAGGTACAGGTCATTTCTTTTCAGTTGTCACGCTAACAAGGAAGTCTTGGAGATGTCAAAATTTTCCTGCTTCAGTATTCCATTGTTCAGACATCAGCTTCTGGGTATTGACAGTAGCATGTCCTGAGGTCACTAGATATGTGACAGCCTTTGATTGCCCACTTTGGTTGCAGAGGTACCAGCTTCCCTAGCAGGATGGATTTTCTGTGTCCTAATAATCCTTCCTGAAGACCAGTGGTCCAGCACTTCTGGATCTTTTGTGCACCCTAACTTTCTGTAGTGATTTCCTTTCTACCTAAAAATGCAGAGTGGTGTCTCTGCTCTCCACTGGGCAAAGATCAAAATTCTGGATAATTGGTTAGTAGATTATAGCTTACTCATCTGCAATTTGAGGTCCCTCTGCCTAGCTCTCAGCTGCCCTCTCTGTAGCAGAAGTCCTTTAGGCTCCTGTTTTAACCTACCTCAGAGAGAACTCAGAGCCTTCTGTAGATATCTCAAAATCTAGAGCCAGAGAGCAAAGCCCAGAGACCACTGGAATTTCTCTCTTCATCCTACCTTCTGGATTTCTGTTGCCTGACTGAACAAGTGTTTCTTCCCTAGATGAAGGGAAAGATCTGCATTTCAGCAGTGACCTGAAGATGGTGATCTTATTCCAGGGCATAGAATAATGAACACAAGATAATAGAAAACAATACAACCACAGTGATACACTGTTGAGACCTCTACAAAGCAGATGAATGGCTTGCAAACTACTATTTCCTAATGTTTATCTAAAAGGACTGATACTCTGATGATTCTAAACCTGCAGCTATAGTCCTATAGTTATCTTCCCCACTTCCCTTCCCAGAAGACCTTCTCCAGAAGGTCTGCTTCATTTGTACCTCAGTGTAGTATGGTTAAGAATGAAGGCTCTGGGGCTATTTAATTCCCATGGTGATTGCATGGGTGTCATACTACTTTTATTTCAAGGAAGATACCTGATTCTAAGATGCACCATAATCTTATGTACTACTAAGAAGGAAAATGCTCCCAATGAGCATGAACCTTAATGATTAGAGAGAGAACAAGTTTTGACAACTCTGTTGCCAAACTGCCTACTTTAACCTTGGCTCTGTCATTTGCAGCAGTGTGGCCTGAGGCAGTACCTAAATCTCTCTGCCTCAGTTTCCAAGTTGAGCTTACTCACAGGCTGTTGTAAACATCAAATGTGCACAGAACAGGACTTGGGTCAACGTAGGTGCTTGATGAATGTTAACCATTGTAATAGTTATGCAATGTTGTTTTTTGTGTTTATCTCAATCATATTTTCCACCTTAATTGTGGGAGGGCAAGAGACCAT